TGATTGGGGGAGGGGGAGGGAAAGGGAAAGGGGAGGCGGCGGTGGGGAAGAGACAGAAATCTTTAATAAATAAATTAATTAATTAAAAAAAAGAATTTTCTGAACCCAATTTCATATTTCTCAAACTGTTGGATATTCGAGAAGATAGTAGGCAGTAAAGAAAATTGCTGTCTTATAGTAGACTTAAGTACAAAGGAATATTTAAACACCCAAAACACTGGGTTCCATTCTAAAAGTAGTCATTAAAAAAAAGTACCAGATAAAGTTGCTAAAGTGATTAAATGACATGTTTCTATGCCTACAATGGTCGATCAAGCCTGTGATTCCTGAATCTGCAAGGCTGAGCAAAGAGGATCATCAGGAATTCAAGGACAGGGACTGAAGTCATTGCACTGACGTTAAAAATGCTGGCTGATTTCCCAGGGAACCTGCATTCAACTCCCAGTACCCACATGGTGGCTCACAAACATGTATAACTCAATCCACAGGATCCAGTGAGAGCCTTGTATTCACATAGTACACAGATATAGATGCGGGCAAAGCACTCGTGAATACAAATATATAATTAATCAAAGAATTGAAGACCAGTATAAACTAAGAGTGAAACCCAGTCTTCAAACAAAAACAGCAATAATAACTATCTAAACTATTTCAATATACCTACTTAGTCCTGCTCTACACCCTCAATAATATTACAGTTTATTAGCCATGTGGGAGGGGGCAATGATTCTCAAATATTTATATAAATTCAGGCAAATCTTCTGAAGATGCTTAAAATCTAGGAAAAACCCAAGATGCAGTTCTAGTAGGTCCATTTAATTTCTATTGATCTCAGACCACATTCTATAGGAATGCCATAGAGAAACATGTTTAAGACAGGGCACTAATAAAGTTATGTTCAGGGACCATGAGAGAACTCCTCTACTCCTTTTCACATACCTGAAGTCCACCCTCCCTTCAGGACCAATGTGAGTGACATGTTTCATAAATCCAGTTCACCACATCACCTCTTTGTACACTCTTTCTTACCATCTTTTAGTCTTACTGTTGGCAAGAGTCTGATGATTCTAAAGTACGGCTCTGCAGACACCAGCACCTGACTCATAACAGGTGCCCTTAACAACACAGCTTCCTGGTTTCTACTCTCAAAGTCTCTTAGATCATTTAGTGATAAAAATAGGAGCAGGTGAGTGACAAAATGAAATTAGATTTTTAAGATTTTTTTTCCCAAATGATTGTTATGGTAAATTGGTTTGGTACAAAGTACTACAGAGTGTTTCTCAATCAAAATCAACTGCATAGTTTAAACAGTGCAGGGTCTCTGGGTCTAAGCCAGTTAGATAAATGAAATCAATTAAAACTCCACTGTTGGGTCTAATTAATATGTTCCAAATTTGAGAATAATAGAACGTATAGTGAGACATAGTAGTGAGGGTAGGGGACCTGTTGGATTAACTGGATCTCTGATGTTATAAATTGAAGTTCTCCAAAGATTACAAAGCCACAGCTGTTTTCAATATTCTACAAGACAGCATCAATGAAATTTGTGATTATAGAGACGTGGAATATCGCAGACAGAACTGAAATTATTTCTAGCTTAAAATCCAGATATCACCCACTCCTGTCTGACCTATATTTCTGTGACTTTATAAAAAAAGAAACTTCAAAATTTTATTGTTAGCAAACAAATCAGAAAACTAAGAAGGTGACTTCTGAGACCTATAAGTAGAGTTTTCTTCACTTGGCTGTAAACTGCCTGTGTGTAACTACCAACAATTCATCTGGTAAATTCTTTGACCCCTGTCTTCCTCTGTTCTATAGCTGATAAAAATTTCAGTAAGTACATGTCTTTTAGAGCTTAGAGCTACCTGTTCATAGACCATGGTTAGTCACATTTGACTCAGTAATGAACTATATATAATTGTTTATGAGTGTGGAAATGTGTGTGTTATGCTGTGGCCATGGGTGCATGGAGGTGGAGGTCTGTAGTTAATACTGATGCCTAAGAATTTGAGACAGGGTCTCCACTGAGCCTGGGGTTCCCCAATTTGACTGGACTGGCTGGCCAGTTAGCTCTAAGAATCTGCTGGTCTCTGGCTCCCCAGTCAAAGGTTTCCAGGCTTGTGTCAAGAAGACCAACTTAAAAGATGGTTTTCTGGGGACTTGAACTTGGATCCTCATGCTTGTTTGGCATGAACTTTACTGACTTAGCTATCTTTCTAGTTCCAGAAACAAACTATCTCTCATTACCTTTCAGGTGAAATATGTATTTGGAATGAGCACACCTAACATAGAATCTAGAATTCAACAAGTATTTGTGGAAATAATAAATTAAGATAATGACTGTCAACTACCTTCTGTATCTTTTGCCTGCCACCTTAGACAACCATGAGCATTGGAGCATAAAATTAGAGTTAAATTCTGGGTCAGGAATCTCTACCAACCTGAGCAACTTCCTAACGGACCTCCACAGCCTCTCTGTCCCTTGGGTTACTCCGTGATAATAACTGAACTAATCTGAAGACACAAAGTATATTTGAAGGTGTCTGGGCCATCATAACCTCCTGATAACTGATAGCTATTGTCACGCTGACTCCTAAAACAATTAGTGGATTGTGTGTTTCTCCACGATTGGATCATCAAGCACTCCCAGT